AAAAAAAAATGTTCTTGCATATTTGTTACATATTTTTTTTTTTTAATGCATATTATAATAATAAATATTTATCTATGATTATCAAAAGATTAAAACTACGGTCATAAAATAATGTATACATTATGACGTATAATATAATATTATTATTATTATTATTATTATTTTGTTTATGTTCGAACGAAGCGATCATCAAATTTTTATACTTCTGTAATACAAACAGTAAATTGTGCAGTTCTAATATTTCTTTAGCGCAAGCTCTGCAGTAAGTTAAGTAAGTATATAATACTATTGTACCTGTATAGTATATAGTGACTATATACTGCAGTATTAGAAGTATGTGTAACTCAAATTATTGCAGTTGACTTGATGGATATATAAGCAGTTATGATAAAATATCTTTAGGTACCCAATATATACTTTTAAATGATTATTGATTGAAATCACAAAAAAAATATAATATATATTATTATAATTCATTAACTTCTCAATTCGAACGCGCTCGTAAGTATATGGTAAAAGTAAAAAACAATCTAATAATTTCATTAAATAACAAACAATAAATATTTATTTTTAATCTTAATTTTTCCCTCCAGTGTAGTCTTATATCGTCCATCAGATATTAATGCATTTTAGTTTGGACATTAATGAAAACTCTAATTCGAAATCTGCCTGTAGACTGGGACCACTATATATTGGCCATTGGCTCAGAATAGTTTGTACAAAAAGTACATAACTTAGCAGTTAACACTTCATTATTTAAACATTCAAATATTTTGTTTTTACTATATTGACTGCTAAATCTAGAGGATAGGTATAGCTATATTTGATCATACATTATTACATACATAAATAATAAATATTCTATAATTGTTTGATATTTTAATAAAAAACGATGCTAAACAATAATTGTTGTGCCTTCATAATACTCTTATACCAAATAATAAATAATATAATTTTGTTAAAATATATATTATTATTATTGCACACAAACATTATTATTAAGATAACATAATTATTAAGTTTAAAACGAAATATATCTCAAGTTTCTTGAGGTAATTTGCATAATAGCGTTTGATGGGATGGAGGAGTCCGTAGACGCACGAACCATATTATATTCATTTTAGATTTGTAGTGTATTATCGTTTCCGGTGCCTAGTTAGTAGATAATTAACTAAATTGTAAATAAACTCAGTGGTACAAAAACAATGAAGTTGAATGTTCTTAGAATTAATAATATCGTTAAATAGACSGACAATTAATTTTTATAATTATACTATGACAACTATGTACTCTTGTACATGACAGTTTTATTCGAAATATTTATTTTTGACAATTTTTAAATCATGGATACACGAAAAAATTGGAAAACTATATCATTGCTTGTTTGTGTATTTGCTATGGTTAGAGAAATTCGACCAATTAAACCATTTATTACYTCATACCTGAAAAGTATGAATTTTTCATTGAACCAGGTATTTATACTAAATATTGTTACCATTAAAGTAATTTATTTTAATAATAATAATACAATAAAATAAATTTATTTTTGCCAAAAACATTGCCATTTCAGTGTATATACATTGTGTTTCCTTTTAAAAGTAACAATAAATAATTCTGTCCAGTGATATTGGATTGGGATGGGTTTTTTTTAAAGTCAATTTTACTCTTTTTACCATGCCTCTAAAATTAAAATTAACTAAATTATAACGAGTTAAAATTTCGATTAAAATTATAGAATTTCATAATAAATTATGATTTATAATTTATTCATAACATTTACGTAAAATTGAGGTTAATTAATTCCTCRAAATTAAATTCAAATGATTTAATAATGCCTGCAAACTAACGGATACAAAAAAAGTACTCGAAATTGCATGATAATTCCTGAAATTCTCGGATGATTGTTGACCAAATCAATAATTTTAATCGAAACTGTTACTCGTTATAGTTTAGTCAATTTTGATTTTAAAGCTATGGTAAAGAGGATCAAATTCACTTAAAAAAATTCGATCTATCCAAATCTGTTATTATTAGTTGATGTTGCCATTTAAAAAAATGCAAGTTGTATTGCGCATACGCACAATAAAAAGGTTAAAAATTTGAAAAAATGTGTATTTCAATAGTCCCTAACTATTTAAAAAAAAAAACCATCTCTATCCAATATCACTGGACAGAATTATTTAATGTTACCTTTAAAAGCAAACACACTGTATAAAATATAAAATTATACTTTAAAAGTTTCAAGTACCTAGGAATAACATTTTTTAATTACAACAAAATAACTAAAATAGTATTTCTTCGTTTAAATATCTTATTTTATCCAAATTTGAACTTAAAATATCTATAAAAACTATGTTTATACATTTTTTTTTAGATTTTTTTGTTATAGTATGAACTATACATGAGAAACCTTCTTTAGTATTTTCAATCTTTAACTAAAAAAATGTAGTGACTGATGAATTATGTCAAATTTTGAACATAAAATGTTCATAAAATATTAAGAAAGACTTTAAACAACTTAAGAAAAACTTTGTACTAGGTACATTTTCAAACTTTTCAAACAAGCAAAAAAATTTTTTTTGACATTTACATTTACAGAAAAAAAATAAAAAGTTCAAATGACTTTAAAATAGCTAAAAAAAATCAAAATATTTTGAAAATATAACAATTATTAAACAAATATTSCATGAAAATAAAGTGTCTACGGTTATTCGTTTTTTAATTACTAAAAAATAAGAAAATTGCTCAGTCAGAGATTATTAAACTATGAATGAATATCTAGTACATAATACATATCGTAAAAACTTGGACTTCATAATATGCTCATAAAAAATTAATTTTACTTTCCGGTAAATTATTTTTTCGAAATCAAAAACACAGATATTAAATTATTTTAAACATACAATAAAGTACATAAATTATATATATATTTATATTATTATTTTTTTTTTTGCATACGTAAAAATAAAAGTAAAATTACTGATATTTAAAATTAATTATTGTTTATTTTATCGGTATTTAATCCAATTTATATATTATATTTTGAATATAAATAATACATTAAAAAAATTTTTTTTAAATATTAGGTATGAAATTAGGTTGGTTCAAAACTTAATTAAAAAAATATGAATGTAAAATAAATATTAATGGTATGAATTTTCTTAATATTTGTTAGTCGCTATACCTTATACGTATTAGTTCAGATCATCTAGATATCTTGTATACAAAAATTATAATTATATTACTTAATATTTATAATATACTTAACAAATAATATTTTACTTTTATGGTTAATTTTATCCGTATTTTATTGTTGTAATTTTCATTTAGATCAAYGAAGAGATTTATGTTGTGGGGACTTACTCGTGTCTTGTATTAGCCATTGTAGTATTCTTAATAACGGATTATTTTCGGTACAAACCGTTGATCATTGCAGATGGAATTTCCGGAATCGTTTCATACGTCTTAATGTTAGGAACACCAAGTTTATTCAGAGTTCAAGTGAGATTTTTAATAAATCTATGCATTTATACCTTCAGTTAGTAGCGTACTCAGGATTTTAGTTCAATTAGGTTTTTACATGAGTAAATAATTTACATTATTTTTTGCAAAATAGTTTTTATATAATTAGTTATAACAAATTATAACTAATAATAAATTAACAATCTATTTTATATCTATTAAAAATTACCAACAATTAATCGACTCAGTGTATTGAAATGTTAGTAGATAAGATTTTTCGTAAAAGGAAAAAAACTTCAGGGAGTTCCAGAACCCTAGAACCATTCCCCTGCGTACGCCACTGCATATCTATCTATATATTATATTGATATATTATCGCATTAGTTACATCAAAATAGTAATTACTTTACAAACCAGCACCAATTAAAATCAAATAAAAATAATTTTTCAATTTAATACTATAGATTGGACAGATTTTCTTTGGATTTTTTTATGCCTCAGAAGTTGCATTCACTACATATTTATACGCCAAGATCGACGACAAACAGTTATATCAAAAAATCACCAGTATAGTGAAAGCATCCATATTATTTGGCAGATTCTTATCTGGCTTAATCGCACAAATTATTGTTTCTACGAATCTATTGGACAAAGTTTATCTACTCTACATTACTATATTAAGTACGTTTCTTTAAAATATTAAT